TGTAACCCCATTAGAAAGGCAGAAAATAAGGCACCCTGCTTTGTGCACCCCGTGCGCACAGGAAACATTATTTCCTTTGCCTCAAGGAACCCCTGAAAAGACGCCAGGAGGCAGAGAGCAAAAGGTACCCATTTTACACAAGAAACTGTGTCTCCCCAAGTCAGCCACGCTGAATTGATGACTGGAGGCAACAGCTATGGTACAGTGTAGGAATACACTCTACTAGCCTCCTGCTGTTCCCTCAACAGAATTGGGGAGAGGTCAGGTAACTGGGAGGCTCCCTCCCCAACACAACCAAAGCACCGGGCAAAAATCAGAAACCAGCAGGGCGTGGTGGCGCACGCCTGTAATCCCAGCACTCAAGAGGCTGAGGCAGGAGGATCGTTGCGAGTTCAAGGCAAGCCTGGGCTACAAAGTGAGCTCCAGCCCATCCTGAACTACATAGAGAGACCCTGTCTCAAAAAGACCCAAAAAAAAAAAAAAAAAAAGAAAATCAGAAACCGCTACAAGGAACATGATTGGCTAGAGACACTGCGAGGGGCGGGGCTTAGCAGTCATCTCCCAAAGCAGCTTGGACTTGCGCGGCCAGCATCCGAGGGAGGCCCCGCCCCCAGAGCAAGGGATTGGACAGTTAACGATCCCAAGGTCCGCCCCCCACGCACAAGTCCCGCGCGCACCCGGAAGGGAAGGCTCGCGAAGGCCCACCTCCCAGAGAAGGCGATTCGGGAGAGTTTGGGAAGCCCCGCCCCGCGACAGACCGTTGACAAGGAAAATGTTCCAAAAGGAATCACAGGAGACCAGACTCTCCTGGAATTTCCAGATGTGACGCTCTGGGTAGAAAACCTCAGTCGCTAAACACTTACATTTAGAACTTTCCGTTCCGACATCTTCGCTTCCTATTCGTCTCACTGCTCTGGAGAACTGATTAGGTATTTAATAAGCGTCTCTGGCAGAGCCCCGCACTTCCGTTTACGTCACTTCCTCTAGCCTCTTATTAGCTGCGACATACACACCTGCCTTTCTCATTGGCTACAATGTCGGCCTATCAAACTTGTAGTCCGTCTATCTTTTCCTCCGGAGTTGCAAGCTCAGTAACGCGAAATAAAGGTTCTGGGGACCTTGTGGGTTTAAAAAACTTGGCTAGAGGCGCTACACCCGCTAAAAGTTGGCAGCAAATTAATAAAATTTTGTCCGGAAGCGAAGAAGATCTCAATCGGAACGCTCTCCGTGGTTCATTCTTTTATTCAGAAGTTATTCTCCTTTGTGCAGAGCTCTGGGAACTCACACAATGTTCCTGTCCTTCGTCCACACGGGCACTGGATGTCTGCACAACCACGGCGCCCCAGTTGGCTTTATGAGTCACAGGGATCGAATTAAAGATCAGCCGGGCGTGGTGCTGCACGTCTGACATCCCAGCGCTCGGGAGGCTGAGGCAGAAGGATCTCCACAAGTTCGAGGCCAGCCTGGGCTACAGAGTGAGTTTATAGGCCAACCTGAACTGCATAGTGAGACCCTGTCTCAAAAAGACAAAAACAAACAAAGAAACAAAAACCACCTAAAATAAAATAAAGATCAGGCTTCAAATACACAGATGTCCGCCCACTGTCTACCTGTGCCTTCCCTTTAACCGAGGTAGCCCACTTATTGCTTCCCAAGCCTCTTCTCTGCTTTCATAAACATCTATTCTGAGTTTTACACACCTTGCTTGGGCTCAAATGGAATTTCCAGTTTTAGTTTTCTCAGGAATCTTCCCACTGATTTCCATAGTGCTTCATTAGTTTGCATTCCCACCAACAATGTACACAAGTTCTGGGGCTGGGGATTTAGCTCCGCGGCACAGTGCCTGTCTTGCAAGCACAAGGTCCTGAGTTCGATTCCCAATCCAGGAGAAAACAACAACGACAACAAAAAAAAAGTGTAGAAGAGTTCCTTTTTCCCATGGCCTCACCAGCATGTTTTGTTTTGGTTTGGTTTAGTTTTTGGTTTTTTGAGACAAGGTCTCACTGTGTATCCCAGGTTGGCCTTCAACTTGAGATCCCCTGCCTCAACCTCCCAAGTGCTGGGATTACCACTATGTGCCACCATGCTGGACTCCAGCATTTGTTATTATTTGATTTCTTGATGATAGCCATTCTTTCTGGACTCTCAGTGTTGTTTTAAATCAGACCTTCCATTTCTAGAAAAAGATATACAACATTCCTGGCTGCGATAGCCTACAGCCTGCTGATACCAGAAAGAGAAACAGTTTATGAAGACCCTCCCACTTTGGGCTGAGAACTGATTTAGGTTTGAACTTATCTTTCATAAATTATTTTGGTAAGTTTTTGGTTTTGTTTTGTTTTGTTTTCAGTTTTGTTTTTGTTTTTGTCTTTTTGAGACAGGGTCTCGCTGTGCAGTTCAGACTGGCCTTGAGCTCACTTTGTAGCCCAGGCTGGTCTCGAACTCACAACAATCCTCCTGCCTCAGCCTCCTGAGTGCCACCAGGCCTGGCTGGTTTTGTTTTTTTGAGACAGGGTCTCACTAGGTAGTTCAGGCTGGCCTTGAACTCACTATGTAGCCCAGTCTGGCCTTAAACTCGAGGCGATCCTCATGCCTCAGCCTGCTGAATGCTGGGATTATAGGCATTCACCACCTTGCCAGGTTTTTGGTAAGTTTCTTACATGATTTAGGACACCAAGGGAACACTAACCCCCTAGAAAAAGGACAGGAAGATATTTTGCAATTCCAAAGTAAGTTCTATGAAAGATGTTGATAAACATCACAAGCGTCCTAGTCCCCTAAACCCCAGGAGCAACCGTTGTGTGTGTAAAGATGTGCAAGCTTGGACTCGGCGCCGATACCCTCATGGCTGCCTGACTTCTTGCTTGGACATGTAAATCTCTCTGCACCTGCTTTAGGAAATCCACCTCTCCTCTGTGTGGCCACCTGAATGCTTTCCAGGAAGACACAAAGGACAGAGGCCCCCGAAGATGGGTCCTGGAGGTAACAGTTTCACCCACACCATGCTTCCTGCCCTATTAGGAGACAGTGAGAAGTCCCTCACCACATGCACCCCTCGACCTTGGCCCTCCCCACTTCTAGAACTGTGAGCTAAATTATTATCTGCTCATTATAAATCACCCAGTGTAGCCAGTGTGGTGGTGCACACTTGTAATCCCAGCACTCGGGCGGCTGAGGCAGGAGGATCATTGTGAGTGCAAGACCACCCTGGGCTGCAAAGTGAGGTCAAGGCCAGCCTGAACTGCATAGCAAGACCCTGTCTCAAAAAGAAAGAAATAAAATAAAATAAATAAATACATAAAAGGATAGGCGGGGCTGGTTCCCTCTGGAGGCTCCACGGGAGAACCATGTTCCTTCACTTTCCCACAGTAGCCTTCTGCTTTCCTTGGCTTGTGGCTCTGCATCAACCTCTACTCCCAGTGTCTCTTGGCCTCTGTCTCACCATGATCCTCTGCCTGCATCTTATAAGGATCCTTGTGATCACATTGGGCTCATTCACATAATCTGGAATAGCTCCCATTAATACTTCATTGTGTTTTGCAGGGTGTCATGGTGCGCAACTGTATGACCAGTGCTTGGGAGGCTGAGGCGGGAGGACTGCTGTTTGATCCTCCTGCCTCAGCCTCCTGAGTAGCTGGGATTACCGATGTGTGCCACCAAACCTGGCTGACTTCCATTAATATAATGAAAGATCTTTCATCATTAAGGCCCCTCAAGTGTTTCAAGTGAGTCACACTACAAGGCCCCTTTTGCTGTGGCAGGTAAGTGTATGTCCAGGCTCTGGGGATAGGTCGTCACTGTCTTTGGGGTCATTACTCTGCCTGCCACAGACAGGCTCATCAGGAACAGCTTCTCTGCACAGGGGTCTTTTGAGCTGAGAGCTGAGTGAAATACGTAGACAAGCCCAGCAGATTTAGATCGGGTGCGTTTCCTGCTCCTCAGAGAAACCTTCCAAGAGCCTCATGTCCCATTGCATCTATTGGCAGCAACCAGATGTGGGCAACATTTTGTTTTAGTCTGTCGGAGGCAGGGTCTCACTATGTAGACCCCAAATTCACTGTGGCCTTGAACTCACTATGTAGGCCAAACTGGCCTCAAATGCTCAGAAATCCTCCTGCTTCAGCCTTCAAAGTACTGGGATTACAAATGTATGCCACCACACCCTCCTCCAGAGGTGGGGCTTTTTGAAGGGGATTGGGCCATGGGGCTTCTCAGTGGATTCTTCTGCTGATAGGTTTGTACCTGAATGTGCTCTTGGAAGTGGGCCCAGGTGGTAGGAGGTGGATCACTCGGTCTCTTTCTCTCTACTTGGGATTGCAATTGGGGCCTTCACATTGAACTACATCCCCAGCCTTTTTTTTTCATGTTTTTATTTTGAGACAAGATCTCCCTAAGTCACTAAGGTACCCAGGCTGGGCTGAAATTTGAGATTTTCCTGCTTCAGCCTCCCAGAGGGCTGGGATGACAGGCACACATTCCTCACCTGGCTCTTTTTTTTTTAGTACATGTTTGTGGTATGTAAAGACTACAGTCACCAAGGGGAGCGGGTACAGGTAAACAACACACCTTTTTTTTGGTCTTTTTTGAGACAGAGTTTCATTATGCAGTTCAAGCTGAACTTAAGCTCACTTTGTAGCCCACGCTAGCCTGAAACTCACAGCAATCCTCCTGCCTCAGCCTCCTGAGTGCTGGGATTACAGGCGTGTGCCACCATACCTGGCACAACACATTTTAATTCTGTTTTTTTCATCCCCTTCACCTCTCTTCCCTTCTCTCTCCCTCCATCTCTTGATCCCCTTCCCATTTGCCAAGGATCTATGTCCCTATTTTCTATTGTGTATCTTTTATTTTGCTCTTTGATTCATTTATACTTTGGATTTTTCATATAATAGAAAGCAAGCAATATTTAAGAGTATGTGTCTGATTTATTTCACTTAACATTATGGTCTCAAGATGCACCCATTTAGCTAGAAATGTCTTAGGGTATCCTTCTTTATAGCAGAGTAGTACTCCATTGTAGGTTAATACCACATTTTCTCTATCCATCCATCTGATGCACATGTAGGCTCATTCCAAGCTTTAGCTCTTATGAAGTATGCTGCTATAAACATGGGCATGCATGCGTCACTGTAACGTGACATCTCTAAGTCTTTCAGAAAGATACCCACAAAAGGGAATAGCTGGGTCAAATGGAACTTCTAGTTTTGTTTTTTTAAAGAATCTCCATACTGATTTCCATGGTGGTTTCCTAGTTTCCACCCTCACCAGCAGTGTAGATGCCTCCTTTCCCAGCAGCCTCGCCAGCACTCGGTGTCACCTGATTTCCGGATGACAACCGCTCTTTCCGGGCCAAGATGGACTGGCTCACTCTTAGGTCAGCACAGAAAAGATGGACACTGGGAAGGACCCAGCAACGATTCCTTTCTAATTTAATTTTGTTAAAAGCGCCTCCCGTTCGCAGCTGCCCTGTGATCAAGGGAAACAGCACAGCCCTTTTCCACAGATTGGAAAACTGAGGCTCAGAGGCGAAGTCACTTGCCCAAGGTGGCCCAGCCGCTGGGCGGCAGCAGTCAGGGCCAAATCCCAAGCCGAGAGGATCCCAGACCCTCCCAGAGGACAGCAGCAGTGGGGGCCCAGGCCCCAGGCCCCCTGTGGGTGCTGGGAGGCCCCCACTACTTGCCCGGGGCCGTGAGGGTGACAGCAGGGGGGCTCCAGTCGCTCAGCTCCCCGGAGTCCGTGAGGTCCTGCGCAGCCACCTGGACGAAATACCTGGCCCGGGGCCGCACAAACTTGAGGATGAGCGATGTGGCTTCGACGGGGCCCACCTGCGAGCAGAGAGAGTGCGGGGTCGTGGATGGAGGAGATAGGGGCGCTCCTGCACCCAGAAGCAACCCTTGCCTGGCACAAGCCCGGGACGCTGATCCCAACAGACCGGTGTACACTGCAGGCCTTACATCTCCCTGCTACGCTTTGCATGTGGCTTCAGTGTCCTCCGAGGGTTCTGGTGCTGAAATTTCATCCCCAGTGCAAGTGAGGAGAAGATGGAAACTTCTGGCCACAGTGGCACAGCCCTCCTATCCCAGTGATTCTGGAGGCTGAGGCAGGAGGATCTCAAGTTGCCCCTACCCTGGGCAACTTATCGAGACTCTATCTCTCTCTTTCTATTTTCTTTTTTTTGTTTGTTTGTTTTTCTCCAGTACCAGTAATCGAACTCACGACCTTGCGCTTGCCAGGCAGGCGCTGTGCCTCTGAGCTAAATCCCCAGCCCGAGACTCTGTCTCTAAATAAAATTATAATAAAGACTCACTAGCACTTGTTTTGTTTTTATTTATTTATTTATTTATTTTTGTGAGACAAGAGTCTCACTATGCAATTCAGGCTGGACTTGAATTCACTATGCAGCCCAGGTTGGTGGCCCTCCTACCCCAGCCTCCCTCTGGGATCATAGGTAGCACCACCACACTGAGCTTTTTCTGAATATTTTTATCCCCAGTTCATTGAGCTGGTGACTGCAGAACCCACACATACAGAGGGCCAACTGTATATTCAGAGAATTGGGCCAACAGTTGTTCTAAATTAAAAACCAAAGACCCAAGCTGGGTGTCTTGGCGAATATCTATACTCTGGCATCTCTCACTGAGTACAAGATGGTCGAGGTCCAGCTCCTCTTCCTGGATGAGTAATATTCCAGCATGTGGACAGACCACTGTGTGTGTCTCCGGCTGGCTTTTGCATGAGCTCTGCCCTCCACCAGCTGTCCCCTGCCGGTCCCCTCCTCCTCCTCACCTGGCGGAAGTGCATGGCTCCGTGCCGCCTGTAGCGAATCCAGTACTTGAGAGAGAAGATCTCTGGGAAAGGCCAGGACCGAGGGGGCTCCCACTGCACCTGGAGCTGCCGCCCCGCGAGGGGGCTCAAGCGCACGCCTTCCGGGGGGTCGGGTTTGACTGGTGGCGCGGCAGGAAGGAGAGTTAGGGGCGGAAGCTCACTCATTCGTTCAACCGAGTTTGCACTGTCCCTCCCTGCTGTCGTGGGGATGGAAGCCACGGCCTCGCACACGTTAGGCCGGAGCTCACCACTGAGCTACACCCCAGCCGGTTTTAAAATTTTCTTTTGAGACAGCATCTCGATAAGTTGCCCAGCCTGGCCTCAAACTGTGTGACCTTCTTGCCTCAGCTTCCTGCGTAGCTGGGATGACAGGTGCGTGCCACCACACCCAGCTTACAGTGGTTTTTGAGACATAAAACAATATCCCCAAACTCACCATTTCAAAGAGTACAATTCAACGGTCTTCAGCGCTTTCACAAAGCTTGGCGGACATCGCTTCTAGTTCTAGACCCTTACCTAACTCTAGAACATTCTCCTCGCCCTGGAAGGAAGCCCTGTCCCCACGAGCAGTCGCCCTCCGCTACGAGCCCTCAGCACCAACAGATCCACTTCCTGTCTTTGGATCGCCTGTCCTGGGCATTTCCTATCCATGGAGTTACACGCTGTATCCTTCTGTGTCTGGTGTCTCTCACTGAGCACGGTGTCCTCGAGAACCGTCCACGTGCCAGCGTGTGTCAGAACTGATCTAAGTGCAAGGCCTGTGGCCCTTGGGGGAGAACTCGAGCTTTTGCACGAGGTAGGTGGGACCCACGGAGGGCTCTAGGCAGGGGCAGGACAGAGCCTCATTCAGAACTCACGGGCGCCCCCTGGTGGGAGCCATTGGAAGTGACTGCGCTTGTCCCGCGAGTGACGCGGGGCCTGGACTGGGGGAGGCAGAGGCGGGAAGAACGGGGGTGACCCGCAGGAGGCAGGGAGGAGAGAGGAGACTCACTGATGCGCTCGGGCACGAAGGGCACGAAGGTGCTGCGGGCGCCCGCGGGGTGCACGGCGGTGACGTTGAGCACGTAGGGGACCGCGGAGAACAGCTGGATGTCGGGGATGGAGCAGCGCGGGGTCTCCGGGACGGGCTGCAGGCAGGGCCGGCTCTCCCCCTGCGCGGCCACACCAAGCCTGGACACGGGTGGCACCGTGAGGATCCCTAGTCTCCTGGACCCCAAGCAGGCGGCACAGGGTCCCTGCCCGCCTTGGCGCCGAGCTGGGGGAGCCCTGGGCGGCCAGGGTTCAGGGTAACACCGCCCAGGGAGAAGCTCGGCTTCCGGGATCCCCGCAACAGCCACGCCCCAGCTTCTGTCTGTTCGGAAACCGGGTCTCACTGTGGAGTCCGGGCTGGGCTCGAACCCATCCTGCCTCAGTCTCCTGAGTGCTGGGGTCACAGGCGCGGCGCACCGCCACCCCCGCCAGCTACATTCCAAATTTTGAATCCCAACATTTGGCAGGTCAGTGAATTCATAGACTCTGGAATCTGAAATAAAAACTCTCCTTTTTTTTTTTTCATCTTTTTGAGACAGGGTCTCGCCCTGCAGTTCAGGCTGGCCTTGAGCTCACTTTGTAGCCCAGGCTGGTCTCGAACTCGCAACGATCCTCCTGCCTCAGCCGCCCCCTCCGCCCCCGCCCCCGCCGCCCAGTGCTGGGATTACAGGCGTGCGCCACCACGCCCAGCCCGAAACTCTCCATTTTGGACACCCTAAGATCAGGTTTTTTTTATTTTTAAAATGGTCATTTCTGCAGTATCAGGCATAAAACCTGGAGACTCGAGCATGCTAGGCAACACATCTCCAGCTCTTTTTATTTTATTTTGAGGCAGTTCCCCAGGCTAAGCTATCCTGGCTAAGTTCCCCAGGATAGCTTTGGAAGTTGAGATCTTCCTGCCTCAGCCTCCTGAGTAGCTGTGATTAAACATATATCCAGACCAGGCCATTGAGATGTCTGACAGACTTTGCAGACCAGTGGAGCATCATGTGATAGAAGTTTTTTTGCAACATTCACAATATTCTATTTCCTTTTATGTATTTGTTATTTCTGCGGTGCTGGGGATGGAAACCAAGTAATTTCTGATGCTAAGGAAGTGCTCATTACTGAGCTGCACCTCCAGCTCGAAACTAATGTTTTGGAAAGAAAAGAAAAGGAAACACACAAAGCAATGCCAGAAAAGAAACTAATATTTTGTGTATTCATCTCACAAGATATCAAATGAACTTATAAATGTTAATATGTAAATCAAATATAAAGATGTAAACATTAATAAAATTGCATTAAATTATGTTAAGTGATAAATACTTGTATTTTCTTTCTGTCTTTTTTTTTTTTTTGAACTCAGGATCTTGCAGTTGCCAGGCAGATGCTTGTACCACTGAACTTTATATCCCTGGCCTGATACTTGTAATATTTAGATTCTACTTAAGTTAGATACTGAATATCACCCACGATTTTCCTTTCTTTGTTTCTTTGTTTCTTTGTTTCTTTGTTTCTTTGTTTCTTTCTTTCTTTCTTTCTTTCTTTCTTTCTTTCTTTCTTTTTTCTTTCTTTCTTTCCTCCTCTTCCTCCTTTCTCCCTCCCTCCCTCTCTCTCTCTCTCTCTCTCTCTCTCTCTCTGTGGTATAGGGGATAAAATCAGGGCTGTAGCACATGCTAGTCAGGGGCTCAGCACTGAGCTGCACCCCCAGCCCTTTTTAAATTTTATTTTGAGCGAGGGTCTCACTGCATTGGCCAGGCTAGCTTCAAACTTTCACATTTATGATTCTCCTGCCTCAGCCTCTCAAGTGCTAGATGACAGGTGTTCCCACTACACCCAGCTGGGAAGTGTTTTTCTATTGGCCATCACCGCTCTAGGTTTGGGGTTTGGAACACCTGAGGCCACCACCGCAGCCTCTGACCTCTCCCAAAGGCCCCTTGTCCCACCAACCCTGTCAGTGCCTCTGACCTGTATGTGGCGATGAAGGAGGTGGCCGTGGTGCGGTTGGGTGCCCATGGCAGTGTCCAGGAGCAGTCCACAGCAACCGGGTACCTGGCGGCCCAGCACTGCACCTGAGGCTGGCTCGGAGTCCCTGGGGCCCCAGAAGACAGGAAGGAGCATGAGCTTCCAATTTACCCCTAGATTGCCAGAGCCCAGGCAGGAGCTGTCAGCTCATTCCTCAGACAGGGAAAGTGAAGCTTCAGGAGCCAGAAGGCTGGGCGTGGTGGCATACAGCTGTAGTCCCAGCCATTCAGGAAGCCGAGTCAGGAGGATCTCAAGTTCCAAGCAAGCCTGGGCTACATAGGAAGGCCCTTTTTCAAAATGCTCAGGGCTAGAGCATTTGACTGCAATATTTTTAAAAATTTACAAAGGGCTAGGGGTGCAGCTAGCATATGAGGGGGCTTGGTTCAGTCCCCAGCGCTTCATTGCAAGAAAGAGCCAGGGGTACCAGGTAAGAGAGGAGTTTCCTGCATCCCCTTTTGTAACACTTTTCCTTCAAAGTACATGGACACCTGTTCTACTCCAAAATGAAAGCATTTGGGGGCTGGGGATTTAGCTCAGCAGCACAGCGCCTGCCTGGCAAGCACAAGGTTGTGAGTTCCATTCCCCGTACCAGAAAAAACAAAAAACAAACAAACAAAAAAAAAAAAAGAAAGCATTCAACTCAAATTCATACCCAGATCAACCCTCTCTGTATCTGTAGGAATTGCTCCCAGGAGCCCCACCACACAGAAATCTGTGGATAATCAAGTTCCTGACATAGCAGAGTGCGGTATTTGCATAGAACCTGCACAATTCCTCCTACAGACTTTAAATCACCGCTACCCGCCTTTTGGGAGAAGGTTGAGGTAGGGTCTTACTATATAGTGCAGGCTGGCCTTGAGCTCACTATGAAGGCCAGATCGGCCTCGAACTCCAAGTGGTCCTCCTGCCTCAGCCTCCTGAGAGCTGGGGGTACAGGCGTGTGCCACCACGCCCGGCAGTTGGCTCCTAACATTTTTTTTTTCCCCCCTGGTACCGGGAATCGGACTGACGGCCTTGCGCTTGCCAGGCAGGCGCTGTGCCACTGAGCTAAATCCTTAGCTCAACTCCTAACATTTTTGATCCAAGTCTAAGATCAGGGTCGAGTCCCCAGACAATGTCCCTCTAGCCGGGTCCCCCATCTCAGGAGTCCCACATACCTTCCTCTCCCCGACAGGACAGGCAGCCACTCCAGAGGGCGAGGGCCAGGAGCAGCCTCGGGGTCATGCTTGCGGGCTTCTGTGGCTCCTGCTCTCCGGGGGGTTGGGGTGGGGACACGGAAACCAGCCCAGAAGGCCAGGGACCGGCTCGGGGAAAGCCCAGCGCCACGCTGGGTCCCCCAGGGCTGACTCACGGGCCGGGTTTGTGGGGCTGCTGGAGGGTGTCCGGGTGTCACAATCTTTCCCAGTCCCCTCACTGGCCACCCAGCTCGGGGGTGGAATTCCCTGAGGGCGGGGGAAGGGAGGAGGCTGAGAAAGGGAGAAGTGACCCCAGCGGCCTTTCCCAGCACAGCGGGTGTGTGTGTCCCTTCCTTCCGGCAGCAGCAGTGACAGGGAAACCCCAGGGAAGGGGATGAGGACTCAGAGAAAGACAGGGACAGGAGAGGGCAGAGAGATAGAGGTGCAAAGAGACCCAAAGATCAGCTGGGTGTGGTGGTGCGCACCTGTCATCACAGCACTCTGGGAGGCTGAGGCAGAAGGGTTCCCTCTCCGGTTCCAGGACACAGAGATGCAGACACCCAGTCTTGGGGAGGCAGTCGTGACCCTCAGATATTCTCCACGTGATGGGGACACCCAGGGACACGCCAAGGCCCCCCCCCCCCGTGTCCTGTCCCTGCCCAGGACACACCAGGAAATCCCCAAAGACAAGATGGACCCGCTCAGGGAAGGAATTCCCGACAGCTGCCTCCCCTCCCTGGGCCATAAGGGCCAGAAGTAGCCTGTGGGGATTTTGGGGGACTTGCCAAAGAGCAGGGAGCAAGCCGCGAGCTGGGGGGCAGGGGTTAGGGCCTGGCTGCCACCTGTGGTGAGGTTTGAGGTAGGAAAGGAGGTTAATTAAGAATTGTGGATCATGCTCAGTGGTACACACTGGTGACCCAGCACTCTGGGAAGCAGAGGCGGGAGAATCACAAGTTCAAACCCACATTGGGCAACTTAGCAGCTTAGCAAGACCCTGTATGAGTTTTGGACTTGACTTGCTCTTCTTTTTGTAAGAGGGTTCAGGTTTGGGCTAGAGACATAGCTCAGTGGCACAAGCGCCTGCCTAGCAAGCACAAGGTCCTGAGTTTGATTCCCCATACAAAAAAAAAAAGAGGGTTCAGGTTCAACATTAGGTTGTTTATTTGCACTCGCTCTATTTTCCTGATATGGGTACTTACGGCTATAAATTCCCCTCGCAGGACTGCTTTCGTTGTGTCCCATAAGTTCGGGCATGTTGTATTGGCATTATCATTTAACTGTAGAAGCTAATTTCTTCTTTAATTGCATCTGTGACCCACTGGTTGTTCAGGAGGGTGCTATTTAGTTTCCATGTCTTTATGATGTTTTTGTGGTTTCTTTTGCCATTGATTTCCAATTTCATTGTATTATGGGCTGATAATATGCATAGGAAAATTTCAATTCCTTTGCATTGGGGGCTGGGGATTTAGCTCAGTGGCACAACGCCTGCCTGGCAAGCGCAACGTCATGAGTTCAATCCTGGTACGGGGAAAAAAAAAATTCCTTTGCATTTATTTAAGCATGTTCTGTGAGCTAGTATGGGGTCTATTTTGGAGAGCATCTCATGTGTAGCTGAGAAGAAAGTGTATTCTGATGTAGCGGGGTAGAACACTCTGTAGACATCTACTAACTATATTTGTTCAAAATTTTGGTTTAGGGGCTGGGGATATAGCTCAGTGGTGTAAGTGCCTGCCTGGCAAGTGCAAGGTCATGAGTTTGATCCCCAGTACTGGGGGGTTGGTTTAGTTCTGATATTTCATTGTTGAATTTTTTTCTCTAGTTGAGCTGTCTATTTGTGACAGTGTGGTATTAAGGTTTCCCATTACAATTGTATTAGTGCTTATCTGATTATTCTATTCTGTTAATATGTTTATATAGTTGGGTACAGTGGTATTTTTTGGTGCATATATATTTATGGCTGTTATCTCTTCCTCTTGGTTTGTTCCCTTTGGAAGGATGCAGTGATTGTCTTTGTCTCTCCTAATCAGTCTTGCCTTGAAATCCATTTTGTCTACAAATAGAATAGCTACCCATTTTTTTTCCAGGTTCCTGTTACATGGAATATTGTTTTTGCTCCTTTGACTTGGAGTTTAACTAAATATGTTTATTTGCTGGGTGTGGTGCACACCTATAATCCCAGCACTTGGAAGGCTGAGGCAGGAGGATCCCACAAGTTCCAGCCCAGCCTGGGGTACATAGTGAGTTCAAGGCCAGCCTGAGCTACATATCGAGACCTGTCTCAAAAAAATACATACATATATACATACATACATGCATACATACATATATACATGATTTTTTTTCTATGTAGTATATTATTGGATTTTGTTTCTTGATCCATTCTGCCAGTTTCTTTTTATTAATTGAGACAGGGTCTCACTATGCAGTTCCGGCTGGACTTAAGCTCACATTGTAGCTTAGGCTCATCTTGAACTTGCGATGATCCTCCTGCCTCAGCCTCCCAAGTGGAGACCATTAATATTGATTATGATAACTGATACGTTTTGACTTATTCTTGTCATGTTATTTTCTTGTTGTTGGTTCCCTTTTTTCCCTGTGTTTAATTACTTGTCTTGGCTGATGGAGTCATTCTGTTGTGCTTCCTGGAGTTGCAGTCCTTGTTATCTCTTTCTAGAATGTCTTTCAGAACCACCTGGAGTGCTAGTTTGGTGGTCATGAATTTCCTCAGGTGTTCTTTGTCATGGAAGTATCTTTTTTCTCTGTCAGTTTTGAAAGATAGTTTTGCAGGGTACATCAACCTGAGTTGGAGTTTGTTTTCTTTTAGGACTTGAAATATTTCACTCTAAGCTCTCCTTGACTTGAGGGTTTGTGTTGAGAAGTCAGCTGTGATTCTGATGGGCTTTCCTTCATAGGTGATTTGTTTCTTTCCTCTAACAGCCTTTAATATTCTGTTCTTGTGTTGAATTTCTATTTTATTTTTGGTACTGGAAATTGAACTCACAACGTCATGCTTGCCAGGCAGGTGCTGTGCTACTGAGCTATATCCCCAGCCCATGTTGAATTTCTTGAATCTTGACTATTATATGCGCTGGTGTAGATTTTTTTGATCATGGCTAATTGGAGTTCTGTATACTTCACTTATTGTATGTCAAATTCTTTTTCTCTGCTTGGAAATTTTTCTGCCATTACTTCTGTAAACAGATTTTTAATGTCATGTGTGCTATCTCCTGCTTTTGTATTTATTTATTTGGCACCAGGAATCGAACTCAGGACCTCATGCTTGCCAGGCAGGTGCTGTGCTGCTGAGCTATAACCTGAGCCCTCCTGCTTTTTTATTTATTTATTTATTTATTTATTTATTTATTTATTTATCTTTGGTACTGGAACTCAAACTCAGGACCTTGGGCTTGCCAGGGAGGCACTATGCTGCTGAGCTATATCCCTCACCCAGCTCCTGCTTTTTTTTCTGTCTTTTTTTTATTTTAAAGAGTAAAAGAAGGATAACATAGTAATAGGGGAGGCTTACCAAATTACAGACAAAGTGGTAGGAAATTATCAATGGTTATTGTTTTACATATTGTTATCTACAAGATAGTTTCTCAGGAAAACAAATAGACAAATAATAGTGAGTTACAGACAAAAGAGGTAGGAGATTATCAATAGTTGTTGTACTATACTTTGGTATCTTCAAAGTGGCTTCTAAAGCCAGCTCCTGTTTTTTATTGACTGTGGTCAATCTTATGCTATTCTTCTTTGCATCATCTAGCCACTCCTGGATTGATTTCTCATAGTCCCTTTTAGAAATCTTTCTTTTCACGATCACTTCCTACAATCCTGTCTTCTGTATCAGATATTCTGTCGTCACATTGGTTCATTCTGCTGCATATAATCTCTCTTTTTTTTGTTGTTTTTAGTACTGGGAATCCAACTCATGACCTCATGCTTGCCAGGCAGGTACTGAGCCACTGAGCTATATCCCTCACCCTGCTGCATGTAATTTCTTTTTTTTTTTTTTTTCTTTTGGTTTTTTTGAGACAGGGTCTCACTAGGTAGTTCAAACTGGTCTTGAGCTCATTTTGCAGCCCAGGTTGCTCTCAAACTCACAATGATCCTCCTGCCTCACCTGCCTGAGTGCTGGGATTACAGGCATGTGCCACCATGCCCAGCTTGCTGCAAGTAATTTCAATGGGAATTTTAATCTCCTGGATATCTGTTTGAATGTTTCATGGATTCCATTTCTTTCCTATGTTGGGCATTTATGATTTCCACCATTTTCCTAAGCTCCTCCTTTTTATCTGTATCTGCTCTAGTCACTAAGCATGTCTTTCATCACAGTCACCATCTCTGCAGTTATTGGAGAGATTATTTCTGATTTTATTTTTTCTAGGGCCTTACTCATCTGCTTTTTTACTTCCACTGTTACCACTCCAGAGGGTCCAGGTGGGTGGCTTTTAAATTGTTCTACCTCACTGCCCCCTGGGTTTGCTTTAGGTGAGCTGGAAGTCTGAAGTTGCTTTTTTTTTCGGGGGGGGTTCTTTTTGAGACAGGGTCTCACTATGCAGTTCAGGCTGGCCTTGAACTCATTTATGTGGCCCAGGCTGGCTTCAAACTCACAACGATCCTCCTGCCTCAGCCTCCCAAGTGCTGGGATTACAGGTGTGCACCGCCACGCCCAGCCTTGAAGTTGCATCTTCCTTAAGCATCTTCTCCTGCTCTATTTTTCTTTCTGTCTTTTTTTTTTTTTTTTTTT